CCTACTGCAATAAAGGCTCACATTGGATGAGTTTTTGATGATTACAAGTATTTGTGAAGGGTCATAAAAAATTAAGAAGGGGCAAATTTTACAAGGGACCATTTATACAAAAATGACAATAGCAAGTTTTTTAAGGAAGCTCAGCTTCTTTAAGGTGAATAGACCTATTTACCACTTCTCTACAAATCTTTTTTCCAAGTGTTTTAACAATCTTTTATCCGTTGTTTTGGGAACATCAGTATTACTAATTTTAATAGGTTGCAGAAAACAGTGAGCACAAGTAGCAGACTCAATGAGGTAAATCAGATCAACCTGCAATTTCTGCAATCATTTCTGCAATTTCCCTCACGGGATCAATAAAGTATCTATCTATCTAAATGCCCTCTAGAAACAGAGGGCTGTAAAGAAGGTTAAGACTATTGTGGAGTGTGTGTCTCACCCTCTCCAATGTGAAGACACTACTCCCATCTGGGAGATGCCTCTGTGCCCCAAGATAAATAAAAATAGAGTTAGGAAACCATTTCTCCCACCTACTGTTTAACTAAAAATAATTCAGATCATTATCTGGAATATTGCTTGTCCTGACCTCTTTGTTTTTGATGGTTGATATCGTACTATTGCATTGGACTCTGCTGAAAAACAATTTTCCCCTCAAAGGGGTTAAAGTTTGAATTTGAAAATTACTGCATTTGTTAAGTGTTTTTAAATATTAAAATGTCTGGAGAAAAGCTTTGTGTTACAGTACATCAGTCAGGGATCATTCCAGAACCTAATCTTAACCATGTCTAAACTTGGGGTGAGCCCGTAACCCTGACAGCTTTTACAGCTAACACTTCAGTAAGTCTTGTTTCTCTTTTCTCTGGCTAATGTTTGGGGCAATATGTGCTTCTAATTTTGCTTCCTTTTGTTCTTTCTGATAACACTTTGAGAGAAGTGTAAAGAGAAGCGTTATTAACATGCTGACAGAAATCTACATTAACTATGGTATATCTCTAAAACAAGACAATACCATTTAGGATAATACTAACTTTACTGTATTGTGCAGCATTCATAGTTCTAAACTGATAATATACCATGGCATTGGTTACTGTACCTTGAATAACCTTAAGATTCAATATTAAAGTGCAGTAAGGTGAGAGACAATGTATTGCTCATGTTAAGAGATCATCTGGAAGCTCAAAAATTCACATACCTTTGAAAAAAAATATTAATGAGATTGACTACATAAAAAAACAACAATGTTAACAATCCAATTTAACAAGGAATTAGGTGTGGACTCACAAAGTAATCTCAACAATATTGCATCAACCTGCAGCACCATGTCTGTGTCAGGAAAAAATACTTTCTCTTTACTAATTTTACCACTTAAAGGGAAAAAAAAGATTTGAGAATTCCTTTCTAGTGCCAACCATGAGGGCAGGCAGGAACAGTAAGTCCAGTGATCTTACACAGTTCCTACTACTAGGATACAAAC